GTATAGCGAGACAAACAACTTATAATAAACAGACAAATACATCATGTAACATACTAGTACATGAATGTTATACTACAAGGTTGTTATGAGGAAACCTCAAAGTAAGCATGAAGACAGCTGGAGTATCGACCGAATGCATAATCATTCCATATTTGGAATTCGCATTTCCTAATACGGTAGGATGAAAATACCCCTGTAAAATATGCAAAATTACAGCACGCTGTAACTAATGGCGTTACGGTGACATATGTATAATAATACTAAGTATAACAAAATAGGCAATTTTTACTTACACAATGATGGTACTTGTCCCCTAGAGATGAGTATGCACCTCCTAGTGTAGACAACCAGGAAAAACTATCTTCTAAATGTAGACGTATATAAATCTGTGGTATTAGGCGATAGGACCTGTAAAATATAAAACACTTATTACCGGTACTACCGGTATATGCATAATGCAGCGCTGTACTAGTTAAATTAGGATCATGTGATAGTTATAGGATCTAAACCAAAATTTGTACCAAGGCTGATGCGAATTGGGGAGTTTTTGGCCAATCAAATTAGCACTGTGAATATGCAAAGCTTAATTAGTAGCCAATGTGTTGCATGTTTTCAGTACTTATCTTGTATATCATGCCATAACCAGGTTACAACACAAAATCACAGAAATTCTAGAATATACCCATTGGCCAATTTTAGACAACTGTGGTACAATTAATTGCTTATGAAAGAGTCCCCTATTAACAGAACACCTCTATAAAAATGAACATTTTTATATGCGAAGAATGGTTTCACACATTCACAACCACATTACTGAGCAGGTGTTTCATGCAATTTAAGAAAAGATTGCCATTGCTGAATAATAATATTCAGTTTGCCTCAATGTACAACTGTATATTACTGAAATTGTGTGATAGCTAATTATAAATCAAACCTGGATGTTTATGTTTATTCGTAGTATAATTTATAAAGATTTTTTGTTTTAATATTTTCGTGACAGGCGACATTTCTAAACATTGGGGTCACTGCTGTCTTAAGTGCATGTTTGCAAATCAGTCTCTCAAACCTAATACCATGTGTTTTGAAGGCAGGGCAGACTGTGCTTAGATTTATACTGCTGAGTGAACAGTTGGCTCCAGGAATCTACCCTGAATCAATGTGCCACTGTCACTGTCACATTGTTCCACATACCAAAACAGAAACATTGCTGACTAGTTTGCTATGGATGTCTGGTGACAGTTACATGATTAGAACCAGTCAGGCATAAATTTATGAGTGTTATAAGCACTAGACACACTAGCAACTGTGTCCTGACATTTCAGATTATGTCAGTACATACATTCTGTTTGGAAAATGACTTTATGTTGCCATGTATTAATAATATATCAATTCATATGACTGAATGAAAAAAACTGCAAGGCAATTGCATCATGCCCTTTTATTTATATTCAACGTGTTCAAGGACCCCACTATTAAGAATGATGTTCCATGTTGTTGACCCAACTTGTCCAATCACGTAACAATCTCAAGATTCACATATAGCAAATCAGTCAGCAACTTAGCTAGCAATGTTGCTGTTTAAGTGTTTGGAACAATCTGTCAATGACAGATTGGAAGGCATGGCAGACTATACTCTGATTTACAATCTACTCCAGAAATTGAACCCAGAAGCTCCAAGATGCAGGGTGAACATGTTAACCACTGTATAATCACCCAGGTCATATGTACCTTATAATATAAAGTTACCAAACCAATTATTACTTTGCCAATAACAACTAAAATTAATATGATCAAATTTGAGTTGACAACTCCATGACTTCATCAAACCACAGCGGGATTGTGATCAAACTTTAAATATTAGTAAAAGTAATATACGAGACTTTCTGCATATCTGCAGCATAAATTTACAGTTTCCCATACCATGTCAAATCTTGGCCTATTCGGAACGTCCTTGGATCAACATCTTTACTCGGTCTTAGTAGCAAAACCAATTTATCGTTAGCTGTTCTCCGATTGCAGTTATATTTGACAACTTCAAATGTTGAATGAGTTATTTCACTAATTCGTCCATCAAACATGAATCTCTTAAAATTGTTGCGAAAGTTTGTCGACCTTTGTATCTCGCACAAAAGACAAGAAGCAAGGATGGGGTCCGTCCTCATCACAATTTTTAGTATGTTTGACGCGATTTGGGACTCATCATTTAACGGAGTGGTGCTAAGGTGAGACCTATTAGTTAATGCGTCAACACCTTGCTCGTCGGACACATTTGTTACCATGATAACGTTCATGCAAGATTGGGAAACGCTCAAAATAGTCGAACTTCAACACCATTTATCCAAGATGACAACCTCCATAGAAACTGAAGTCTCCCTGGCAACGTCTCAAGACCGGTAGAATTATTTGTTAAACAAACAGAAATTCTGGGTGTGACGTGCACTGGACCACTCCCCGTGACGACCTGTGAAATGCTGGTGCAAACGATACGATACGAGAAATAATTCAAGTCACAAACACAATGTCGACATTTCCCAACCAGCGTTTCTTGATTACATCATCCATGGAAGACCCGAGAAGTTTCTTTCGATGGAAAACGTCAAACGAAGCTGAAGAAGTTTTTCTTGAACAGCGCCACCCCTTACGAGAAACAAGAGGTCATTGGGTTACCCTCGTTCAGAAGAATGTTTTTTTTTGTTGAGCAAAACTTAATGCCAACTCAGATTTCTCACTTTTTGGGGGAGATTATTTGCATATTATTGTATATATTAAATTATAATTTAATTGTACCTGTCATTTGAGAAATTAGATGATAAATTTAAACTACCAAATGCGATGCAGCATTCAAAACTTGTGAGAGGTTCAAAGGTCGCAAGTTGAAAAATGGCGCGGCGTGGTGCGTGTTTACACTGAAACCGTGTGCAGACATTTGAATGCTAATTACGCAGGTAAAATGTACATATCTGTGATTTGATCTAGTGTGAAATCTTAAGCTGTCGCCTGTGTTGCGTACTTATTTAACTGTTTACGACATATCCATATATTTTGTTGCATACAAGTCAATTGTCGGAGTCGCGTGTAACTGTAAGTTAACTTTTACAGAGCCGTTACGAATCTAACCCAGCGTTGGACTATTGTGGTACTTCACTGCCCGGCTTCACTGCCGAGATACCTCCTCCCGACGCAAGGTAATGTCGTAAGCTTATGTTTGGGACAAATGACCAGTGCACACATATTACTTAAATAATTATGTTGTTCAGTGTTTACGTATAAAAAGTTGTAATTGTAAAGTATGCATCAAACTTCATTGAGTATAACTTACACAGCGGATCTCTCTTATGATAATAAAAGTTGGACTCGTGTAGTCGCTACCCGTATGTTGCCGTGTATTGAACCGCTACGTTATGGTCGTACCGCGAATTGCTACTGGTATTACCTCTGTTTAACCATGGATCTAAAAAGAGACTTGCACGTCGCTGATTTTTAAAGTAAACGCTTCTGACTTGCCGAGGAAAAAAAACTTAATATCTGGGAGCCATAGGGTCACTGGTGTAGACTGTAGTGTAAATGTTCATGTACTGTGAACTTTCTCGTTTACGGTATTTCAAAGAGGTTCAGTTTTCCTTGTGGCATTAAGTTACCAGGGCATGTTGTTATAAAGAAGTCAACACATTTGACAGTGTAGAGTTGCGTCCTGGGTATGCCATGCAAAGTGCAGCATTTAGTTCAAGAATTGATCTTTTTAGGTACACATTGAACACTCACAAACATAAAATTGTCAAAAAAAATAATCTTGCATACATATTACATGTAGCTGTCACTACGATAGCACAAAGTGGCTGCAGGAACTGTTTGACTGAGTATGTGTAAATTTAACTATGATTTTCACCGATTTATAAAGGCTTTAGCTGTTAAAAATATTAAGCACAATAGATTTAACTGATCTTCATTAATTTATTTATCCAGGATCTTTTGTTACCCCTAGTTTGTGTTTAAATGCGTTTTGTTTCAGTATAATAGAAATTTCAATGACTTGTAAGATGCCCAGTGGCTGATCAGCTTTACTGAGTCTGTGAAGTAATTACACATGTCACAGCACTGCTAATACTATGTCTATTGCTGAGTTCACACTGTTATCTTTCAATGATATGTACATACCGGTAAATCCAGTGTAATCTCTTGGTCTTTAACCACAGCTGCAGGGATTGTAGGTCCACAATTGAACTTAGGACCAGTTTGAGATTATCAAAATGAACTTACCCTGTCAGTGAAAGATGAGACAGGCTGGTAGAGTTTGATATACTTGAAGTTTATTATATCAGATGTAGTAGTTATATTTGTCAATTGTCGGCATCAAGATATGAATGAAAATGCAGTCTAGTCTCACTTGCAGACATGTTGTTGCCCAAACTACCTTGTATCTCTTAACCTTTTTGTGAACTGGTGCCAAACTGTCGGAGTAGGTCTCACAATAATGTGTAACTATTTCAGTTTATTAGTGTCGTTGTGTCTGTGTAAATTAAACCCTGCTACATTTATAGTTTGTTTGATTCAAATTGACACTTGATGTTGTGAACTCCTTTTTTGTGAGTTTTTAACATTTAACGATGTATCAGGAGATGCAGGGTAATGCAATGTACATATAAGTATTTCTAATAAAATCAATTTAAATTAGAAAAATAACTATATGATAAGAATCAAATGACAATGTTGGTAAAAATATGGTTTAGATGTTTCCTTTGGCAGAAATTGTTGGTTTGGTCTTATTCATTGATAGTGAAAGTACATATAGCCTGATCTAAATGTAATTCACCATTGGTGACTGATACTGGGCTAAGTCCTTAATATTGATAATTAATTCACAATCACTGTGCTGTACTATTTTATTGTTTTAATATTTTAATGAAATACAAATTGGACTGATTTACTTGTTTTATCATTTATCATTATTATTAGTGTTGTTGTTGTTGTGGTGTTAGAGCCTATTTGTAATTCTATTATGACCTTTATTGTACTTTGTGTAGCTATGAAATGCATCAGTAACATTTATTTCAAAAGAAAACTAAGGTGATCTTTCTTTCTCGTTCTTGGCTATTGAATAACTGTTGATGCATGTAGACAAAAGTAATATTGAATAGAGATAGGAACCATGAACTCATTGGTGCATAGTATACATTCACATGCTAAGTCATAACTGTGTGTTCCATGTGTTGTGTGTGTGTAGGGGTCTGACTGGACATGCTTTTTTTTATTTTGCAGGAGTTTACCCATAGACATAGTAGCTTGATGAAAACTGAACAAAGCTGACATAATATTGGCATAATGCTCTAATTAAGATGGAATCAGAAGACACTGGCCAAGATAACCTTAGTAGGATGCCAGTAGCTACATCATGTATACCTTCAGGATTTATTACTTCATCATCCAGGTGGACTTCAAATAGCCGAGCTGGTGTAGTATTGGATTTTAACCCCCCTACTTTATCTACAATGCCAACGAAAGATTTGTCACATGTGCATACAAACTCAGGACAAGAAGTAAACTTGTTGCCAAAACAAGTGGACATTAACTCAAAACACGAACCTCTCAGCATGGATGTGAATATCGAAACTCATACGGACTATGACGCGAGTGATAATTTTCAAGGAGCTTTACCGCAGTTCTTTAATAAAGAATTTCAAGAAAAGATAGCATCTCCCAAATTAGGTAAGTGATAATGCCATGCAAGATTGTTCCATTCAAATCGATTCTAGTTGTAGCATGGGTGCGCTGGTATATAGTATATGGTAATGTGAAGTTCACATGACTGAAGATTGGAGAGATTGGTGTGTGACTAACCTTGGGGACAATGGCCCTCAAGTAGGTGTCTGCTAAAATCTGGGTAATTGAAATATACTTGACAAAAGAGTGTATTGAAAGCATTGAATTCTTGGTTTTAGGTGATCAGTAGAATTAAACTGAGGATTGTTATTCCCCACATTCATGCCATGTGAGGAGGACTAATCAGGAATTCAATCATACTATGATGTGTGTAAGAACAAAATTACCCACTTGCTGTGCAAGAATGTAGTCTATGCTGGGGAAAAAATGTAAAAAAAATGGTGCATTGCATTTTGAGACTCTGCCACTCACAAGTTGCATAAAATATGCTTTGAGAGGGATATTCATAATCTTTTATGTATGCTTTATAGTTCTGTTAACTGACTTGCGATGAAATCCTGTTCATTTTCTCTCATTTGATGCAGAACTAAAACAATTAACTTGATGAGGGTATATTGTGTTTAAGCTGTCACTAAATACTGAATAGAAGTAGTTAATGAATCTTTATGTGGGTTGTTTTGTTGAGTTTCTATAAATGCCTCCTTCTCACCTGAGTGCCAATTCTCTCTTAGAACATAGTTAACTTAACAGGAAAATCAGAACTTTATTAATATTATTAGTGATCGTCAGTTTATTTCACAGCTATGCATGTGTTTTTTTATACTGTTTACTATCTCCCGATTGGCAAGTGCTTACCTGTTTTTTCCCAAGGTCGTGTGTGAAACCATGTACAGTATAGACACAAAGGCGGTACATTCATGTATTGAAGTGCCATTCTCACTACCCACAAAAGCTAAGTTTGTTTCATTAAGGCATGGTGGTAGAAGATTCTATCAGTGCTTATACAAGCGCTATGTATGATGTACTAATGAATCCTATTCAACACATGGTCTCTCTCTGATGGCATCCACTCGTGTTATTCACACTTGACTGAAGTCAGAATTAAACTTGGCCATCAAGGTATATTTTTATTACAGTTTGAATTTCTTCAAACATGATCACAAGTAGCTGACCTTGAATGAGGTCAGATTATACATATACTTGTACATGTATCTAAAATTATGTTTAATAATTTTCACTTAGGGTTTAACAGATTATGTTAAAGGTACAATGCTTTAACTTCAAAATAACAGGTATTTCAGGCAAACCTCACTTCTCATGGTCATAATTTCAATTTTATTGCTGTAGTATTGACATTTCTACATTACTATGGTTGAAATAAGTAATATTTTAATGATATGCACTTCTATTAGAGATGTGCTTTTAATACTATAAAGTTGGAACTATTTTCGCAGAAGGGTTGAATCAGTGAAAATAAAATTCAGTGATAATAACTTTTTTCTATATTTTACATTCAACTTATCAAAAATTAGTAAAAATAATGTTATGTTTTTAAATGATGCCTATTTTCTAAGAGTAATTCATAGTTGGTTACCAATATTTGCCCTAGTGATAAAAGTGGTATAATGCATTGTCACCAAATCTAAAAGTAATTCACTGTTGGTGACTGGTGAAGGGGAGTTGGCCCAGGTATTATTCTGCCACTGTACTGTCTTTACTGTGACTCTTCTCTAGTATGCAAAACTCGCTTTGTTGCTAGTGGGGAACATTATTTTTTCTTGGCTATCTAAGTTATAATCAAAACTGGTGCTAACCTAGTTTAGCTTGAAGGTCGTTTATGTATGATGATCGAACAAGGGCGATACAACCACTATTTCAACCATTTTAAGTGTTTGCATTGATTGTAAATGAGGCAGAATCACTGAATAAACAAAACTATAGTAAGCGTCCTAGTTTGCACTATGAGTGTGGCACCTAAAAGCTGGAACTATTATTTTTAGGGGTGGGTAGAAATAAAAATAGAATAAGTTGTTTGCACTGTAGTTGAATACACTCTTTCGGTGAAAGTGAATGCCTTGGAAATGCAAACTTTTAGCAAAAAGAATCAAATTCTGAAAGGGAGAAAAAATGTCATTGCTCTATACAAAATAATCTCTTGGCAATTTGGTAGAAGATTATCTGGCTTAAACTCACTCAATCTTTTTAATGGATAGTCTAATATACATAGATAATGACATTGTGATTGTTAGGCAATAGTGGGTGGAGTTTTCTCACTTTGCAAGACAATTCAAACAGTGAATGGTTTCGCCATGTGTTCTAAAACAGCACTTGTTTTAGTTTTTGTGTGCTTCACTTATTAAACCCTTATCCTGCCAGCTACATGTACTTTTACATTGACTTGACCAGATAGAAGTTAAGGCCAACAATATTCCCCTAACTAAAACTGGGCTTCCACTGAGGGTGAAATAGATGTATTGGTAGTCATGATGACTTGATTATGGTGAATCAACATAAAAAAGTTAACATAAATAATCACAATATTCATATAACAAATTAAAATATGCTACACTGATGATGAATTTTCCTTTTTGTGTGAATGACATATTTTTAAATGTCATTGGTGGTGAAAAAGACTTGTAGCCAAATCTCAAAGTATTTCACCATTGGCACTGAAGTTATGCTGTTGTGTCTTCATATTATAGTAGCTACATGTGTCACTGCTGGTTTTCAGTCTTTGTTCATGAATATAAAAAGAATAATAGGGAGACGCTACATGCAAAGACAAGTCAGTATGTCAGCTATTGATCTCAAGGTAGGGAGGGGGGGTTACATGTGTAAAACACTGGTGTTCTAGTCCTTCCCCAAACTGGCTTTTTTATCTGGGTTCAAAGGTCAGCTTACATCATTTCATTGACTGTGTGCAACAGTTACAAACTGACAAAAAAATGATAGCAACACATCATCCTACATCACTGAAATACGCCCACTGTCCCAACATGACGTGGAAAGCTAACCAATCAGTGCAAACATTCATTATCATTATTTACCTAAATTATTTGATCTGATTACCTGTGGTAGTTTATAACCGAAATGTTCAGAAGTACTGTAGGTTTATTGTATTGCATAGGGTGGGAATATTATCAGAAATAATAATAATAATAATAATAAATTTATTGCATCCTTAGAAATAGTTTCTATTGGTTGACAACAATAAAATGTTAGTAATAAAATAAATTCCATATTGACATGATGATCCAAGAAATATTGAATAGTAGTGCTGATCCAGTAACCAAACCTTTTAGAATTTTATGCAGGTGGTTGATAAATTTACAATGTCTGTGTCTGGTGTTTTAAAATATGGAGACGATTTATTGAAGAAGATTGTAGTGTTGCAAGGGGATCTGATCAGTTTTCTGAATTGATGAGAACTTTGAGAATTGTATAGACGATCGATTACATATAAAACTATATATAAAAATATATCTCAAGCGTTTTTTCTGTAAATGCGGTTATAGGAACATTGAGAACACTATGACAGATGTGTGGGCATTAAAAAGATTAACTTTTGGTAGTGACGGAGAGATTGGCCTAAAGTAATATTGCTTACTGCAATGAGTTCGCCAATATTCTTCGCATCATAAACCCCCACAAAGATGCAGTTTTTGAAATGAAACTAGAGTACGAGTTAGTGACGTAGAAGGGCATAGTTTGCTTACATTTTTTTGACACATCAACTTTTCACAATCAAAGTTTCATGACAGATAGTGTTCAGTTGCATGACAGTCAATCGATTCATCAGATATGGCCGTTGCGAGTCAACAGTTGAAAACTCAGTTTAGTAGTTTCTACACTAATATTCATCACTATTCAAGGGCAATATCACTTTGTAAATATTTTTTATCAGTGGACTAAATCCGTGTTCTATCAATATGTCGCAGCGGTTTATATTTAACTTTTATTCATACATTTTCAAGCCACATTACATAGGGTCAATGGAAGTTGTTTTAGTCTTGAGATCTTGTTCACACATATCTCACCT